CAGAAATTCCCACCCGCCCAACGGCCCGACCGCGCGGCGGTTGATGCCCGCGCTGGCTGGAGGTCGGGCGGCGGGGCCCAGCGCGCAGCTGCGGAGCGCGGCGGGCGGCCCCTCGCGCTGGCTGGCCGGGAGCTGCCGGCCCCCGCACCAAGCCATTGTCGCTCCTCGCTTGGTCGGTGACGGAGAAGTAACTCAAGTCCAAGGATTGCTGGTGTGAGAATGAGGGAGTGTATTGGTGAGGGAGTATTTTGGTCCCAGTGCCTGCGAATTCGAAAACGAAAACCCAGCAGTAGCTCCACGCTTCTGGTTTCCACACTTTCACACAAAGGGGAACCTCTGAGCAGGGCACTCTCACGCTCCTTCAAGTGCACAAAAGCCAATGACACGGTGCCCTGGCTTGTCCTGCGTTTGGAGAGTCTCATTAATGGTCTTTCCTAGGCACAGTTATGCATACAAACGCTTCGATCTACTCCCCACCACCACCATTCCCCGTCGGCACGTTTTCTTGTATTTGTTTCTTCAACAAAGAGCATTGACTGTCCCGGTGCGCGCAGGGGTTGATTCTGCTCCTCTCTAGGGCTCCTGAAACCTCACTGCGATGGACCTGGCACCTGGCGCAGTACTCACCAGATTAATTTCTGGGCTCCAGCCTTACTCTTTTTTCTGCTCCATAACCAGTCTTGAGCGAAGAAGAAACCCTAAGGAACGTTAAGTGGTAGCTGTTCTTGAAAGAACGTGGGAAACATGGATATAACCCTAGAGTAGGGCTCAAATGTCAGAAAACCACGGGAGGTTCCCCTGATTTAAGCCCCTGAAAAACCTAAGAATTTAATGATCTCTTTCTTTAAAGCTGTTATTGTGTCTCTCTTTACTTGAGGGTGGGTCGTCCTTTCCTATCTTCAAAATCAACTCTAGGAGCTCCTATTAAGAGATTTTTTACTCTTAAACACAGGGGGAAACTGGATAGGATGGTGGTTAGTTAGAGATCCTCTTTGACGAAATTTTGTGGATTCCTGAATTCTAAAACATGGAGACTATTGGCACCCTTTTGAATTAAAGAATTTTAAAAGCCTTGGTAACATTCAAACCTTTAATATACAATATACAAGATACTGCAAACATAGCACCCTTTCTAGAGCAGAATTTTTATCCTGTTTCTTGTAAAAATGACCTATCATTTATGGGAACCATTGCCGACGCTGATATTTGTAAGAGATTAATAATCGATACTACTGCATCTCCATAACATGAGATAGCATATTAAGGAACGTGCAAGGACAAAGCCTTTTTCCTATAAGTAAGGACGGATCTCACCTGCTGGGTCATATCATTCCTGTTAGCCACCTTGAGAAGAAATGTATCTCTCCCAGTGTCAACTGGAATTAAGCTGGCAAGTCCCGGTGGATAACACATTATCGTTCCCAATTTTTCACTGCTTCATGCATGTGTGATCTTTGAAATGTGGCTTTGAAGTTCCTCTCGTGAAAGATAAAATGTTTCTTCACCCCACTAATGTTGGACTTAGGTCATTTCATTTGTTTTTGGCCAGTAGAATATGGGCGGTAGTGACAGTGTGACAGTTCTGAGCCTGGCCTCAAGACATATTGCATGTCTCTGCCTGCCTCCCTGGCACGCCTACCTTTCACATTGTGAAGAATATGCTTGGGTAGTCTGCTGGTCCAAGAAGGATGAGACACATGGAGCAGGTCTGGAACTCCCCTCAACTTGGAGCCAGTGACCTGCAGCATAAAGGTGGAGACACATGGAGCAGGTCTGGAACTCCCCTCAACTTGGAGCCAGTGACCTGCAGCATAAAGCATTGTTGTTTGTGTGTTTGAGGTGGTTTGCTTCCCAGAATTAGTGTTACAACCCCTGACTGATAGAATAGCAGATAGAGCAATCTGCTACCATGGTATTCGCCTTGAAGATGCAAAATTTGATGTCTATGAGGAAGCTCTTTGATCGTGAGTCTTAGAAAGACACGTCCCTTGTGGAGGCAAGCTAAGTAAGAAAGCCAAAAAGTTTGCAGCAAAGCATTCTGAAGACTTCAGAGTCAGTAGAAAAGGTCAGATGTGGCCAGAAGTCCTAGAAGTAAGCTAATGATCATGGAATACATCTCTTTGTTGTAATTGGATTGCTTTCGCTTTTGTTTTTTATATCACATAATTTACTTTCTTATTATACAAGTGATTTATTAGTACATTCTCATCAACAATTTTGAAATAATACAAAATAAACTTTTTAAAAATCCAAGTCCTCCTTCCCTCTTTACTTCTCTTTCCGTTTCTCACTTAGACTTCACACCTATCCAGCCATCACATACTTACTCTTCTGCAGAGAACCATAAATCATAGTTTAACCTGTAAACTTTCAGACTTTTTTTCTGTGCATTTATATACATGTACATGCATTTATATAAATTAAAAATAAATGGAAGTAATTAATATGTGTATTAGAATGCTTTTATGCTTCTTTTCTCTGTTTATTTCTCCTTTGTTCTCTCTAATAATATAGAAAGTCTTTTCAAATTTTTAGTCTGTCTTCAGTATGATAGGCTAAGCAAAAGAAGAGGTTTTCCTGCTTTTATATCAGAATGTTAAATGAGAGGAAGACCCTTTAGGGCCCAGTCTGGGCGTGGCAGTGACAAGCAACATGAGAAACACAAAAGAAAACTAAATTGTCAGAGTGGTGGCCAATAAATTATTTCACTCTCCCAACCTAGAAATTCACTTTCGGGGGCTAATCCTCGGAGGCTTTGAGTTACATTTGATTAAATGAGGCCATACTTCCTTATAACAGTTCAACGTGAGTAGTCACAGAGAACAAGGTAGAAGCTGTGCTACATTTTCTGACCTGGCCTCCAGAGTCACACACCATCACTTCTGCCATATTCTGTTGGTCACATAGATGAGTATACCAGGAGATAAGGATCATTGGGGGCCATCTTGGAAGCTGGTTGACACAATGGCATTCACAGTAGTGAATTTTTTTTTTTTTCCTTTTTGTCTTTT